TCAATTATATGTATAGAATATGAAGTGTGCAAATATAACATATCTTATGAAAAAGGGATTAAACTGATGTAAGAAAAAATTGTGAGTACTTGTAAACGGTATATGCTAAATTTTACAAATACAACTATACACAATCTTCTAGAAAGCATAGTAAAAATAAATATGGTGAAGCTTAATTTTTTAATACTTTATAAAATCTTATTATGGTGCTTCAGTATGTTTGGGAAGGGAGTGGCATAAAATCTTTTTACTATTACACCGAACCTTGAAATATATTGAAAGAAGCTAGATAGGCTAGAAATGCTGCCAAAAATTATCTATTTAACACAGGCATATCAACCTTTTAAATTGCAATTCAAAGTGTGTGTATACTGCACCCCACCTCATGCAAACATTATTATTATTAGCGACAGGCATGACATAACACTTTTGGTTTGATCCCATTTTAAAGGAAAGATAAGTTGTAAATTATATTTTGATTTTTGAACACTAAATGGAGGTTCACAAGGTGACATAGGTAATATAACAAATTGATTAGGAAAGCTATTTTAGGGTCAACATGTTTCCTTTCCCAAGAATAGCAATACTGGATAAAGCCAAAGCCTACTATAGGCCAATATTCTGCATCTCATTAATTACAAGTTAATGAAGAACGGCTTTTTATCTGTTTTTAAACTCTTTCTAGTTAGCTTCATTAAATGACCCATGATCCTAGTATCATAAGAATGATTCCTGTCCACTTTTCAATGTCATGAATTATTTATTCACCTTTTCCATGTTCTTATTCACCTTTGTTATATTCAGGTTTTTTCTCCCCCTAAAGTGCACCAAGCATTCCAGCCTTTCTTACAGGGAAAGATGTTTAGGATCCCTGACACAATGTGGCTCCCTTCTGCACTTTACCTGTTTTCATTATGTCTTAAGGACCATAAATGGAGCGTTTTTTGCAGAAGTGGGCACATCATAGATATGTATAATGGCACTACAATGTTGATATTTCTATACTCAATCCATCTCCTAATGATGTCTAGCATGGAATTTCCTTTTTCACAGATGCTTCGTCTTGCTCACGTTTTCACAAAGTTATCCACTACAACCCCAAGACTTACTTATGAGTAGTACAGACCACATCACATGATGTACTTTTTGTTTGCAGAAGTCATAAAACTGCAACTGTCCATCTTTTAAATTTTTATCAAATTCATTAAATTTAATGTAAAACAATTAGAATAAAATAAAGCATTTTCATAGCTTTAAAATATTTAGTTTTCAAATTTATTTGCCACCCAGCTTGTGATTCAAGCCACTGTAATTGGGAGGAGTAATGCTAAATTATGGCTGACTTTTATAATTGTTCCATTGATTGAACTATATAAGCAAAGATACCGTGTTTCTCACAAAACAAGGCTGGGCCTTATTTTTTGACCCCCGAAAAATTGGCTAGGCCGTCTTTTCGGGGGTGACTTAATTCCCCCCCTTGCATCCTCGGGCGGCGACGGCTGGGATGTTGACCTTGGCGTTGGGGCACTTCGTATCGGGAGACCTTCCGCCACCATTGCTTTCCTTTCTCCCCGTGCTGCCGTGGCGTTTGCAGCATCGCCTGCAACCGGAGCCCGGCGGAGACACTCGGCTTCAGGAGCTCCTGTCACTGCCTTCCCGGGCATCATTCGAAGGCAAAGCCCATTCTTTTAAAAACGACACCTTACTACGACAAAGCCTCCCCTGCCTGAGGGCAGCCCAACCCCATGTGGGGAGGTGAATCTCCCGGGGCCGCAGCGCAGGATCAGCCCACCCTGGGAGAAGCGCCCATCCGCCATACCTGCCTGGCGCCGGGCAGAGCACAAAGAGCTTGGCGTGGGGCACCCAGCGCAGCTGACAGGCGGGCCCTCCTACCCGGCGGTGGAGCTCTGGCCAAGGCAGTGAGCGCCTCCCCACCGGGCCCTCCACTCATCCTGCCAGGGCTGTGCTGGAGCCGGGCAGGCTGGGCAGAGCCGGGAAAGCGAGCCGCAGGTGCGCGCCTGCCTGCCAAGCGAAAGAGCCGGGCTGACCCGAGTTTGGCTTCCCAAGTCCCTCCAGCCTGACCCCAAAGGGGCCACCAGGAGAGGCTGCCCGAGGCAGTGATAGCACCCACCCATCCGTGGACAGGGAGGCGACGGCCCGCACCACGTCCTCCGAGCTGAGCCCCGCCGAGTGAGCACCTCCGCCCGTGCCACTGCAGCATTTGGAGCTGCCGGCGCGTTGGGAGATGCATGGGGACGGGCTGGGCGAGGGGTGGAAAGGACGGGCGGCTTCGGGCTCTCTCTGCCAGACCCGCCAGCCAGGGAAGCAGCGCTGCTGTCGCCTCGCCTCCCTGTCCGCAGAGAGGTGGATGCTATCACTGCCTTGGGTGGCCACTCCTGGTGGCCCTTTCGGGGTCGGGCTGGAGGGACTTGGGAAGCCAAGCTCAGGTCGGCCCGGCTCTTTCGCTTGGCAGGCAGGCACACACCCGCAACTCGCTTTCCTGGCTCTGCCCAGCCCGCCTGGCGCAGCTTTGGCAGGATGAGCAGAGGGCCCGATGGGGAGGCGCTCGCTGACTTGGCCAGAGCTCCGCTGCCGGGCAGGAGGGCCCACCTGTCAGCTGCGCTAGGTGCCCCAGGCGAAGCTTTTCGCACTCTGCCCGGTGCCAGGCAGGGATGGCAGCTGGGCACTTCTGGGTTAGGCCGATCCTGCGCTGCAGCCCCGGGAGATTCGCCTCCCCACGTGGGGTTGGGCTGCCCTCTCGGGCAGGGGAGCCTTTGTCGTAGTAGGGTGTAGTTTTTAAAAGAATGGGCTTTGCCTTCGAACGATGCCCGGGAAGGCAGCGACAGGAGCGCCTGAAGCAGAGTGTCTCCGCTGAGCTCCGGTTGCAGGGAGGAGGCCTGGCCAGCCCCGCGTGGCTGCGCCAAATGCCGCATGGCTGCGTCAAACGTCGCAGCATTGCTTCAAATGCTGTGGCGGCATGGGGAGAAGGGAAAACAACGGTGGCAGAAAAATCTCCTGATACAAAATGCTCCACCAATGCCGAGGTCAACGCAGGCAGCACCATATCTGGGTGTGCAGCAAAAGTACTTGGTGACAGTAGGGAGCTTGGTGGCGAGGCATGGCGCTCCTAACAGCAAGCCCCCCGCTATTTCCCCCCATTTTGCATGTTTAATATAGGCCTTACTTTGGGGGGAGGGGCTTAATTTCATTTTATGCCTATAAAACATACTGGGACTTCCTATTGGGGGAGGCCGTATTGTTGGAGAAACACGGTAGATTCTTATGGGTGTAAAATGACATAAAATATATATTCTAATTTGCCAGCCAATATAAATACTTGTGTAGGAGAAAAATAAATCTTAACAAACAAAATGGAGGCTGTACTCTTTTCCCAAAGTTTTTTGTACATGATCAGGATCAAACCCAGTTCAACACTTGTCGAATCCTATCAGACCCAAACTGTCCCTCCTCACCTCTAGACAAGCCCACCAAACCAAAGAATAGAAGCCGGCTTACCAGCAAATAGTACAGCCCAAGGCACTTTAAGCAAGGGAATTGGGACCTTAAAGAATCCTCAAATATGAACTGAACAACCTGGTTCAGCCTAACACTAGAAACAGCCCCTGGTACACCGGCCAGCAAATCAGATACCAGACCTTCCTGCCTTGTAGCTCCCAACTTCTGTACAAGAACTGCTTTTCCATTGTCTGCAATAAATGTTTTTTCTTCTGTGTTGGGTTCATTTTTTTTTAGATCGACTCCATGATGCCTATACTCTTGGAGAGGGCAAGTAGTCTCATAACTGCTACCAGCCTCTGAAGTTAATATTTATTTATTTATTTATTTATTTATTTATTTATTTATTTATTTGCCAATTGTTTACAAGATAATAAGTATAAGTGTATACATAGTTGTGAATACATGAAATGGGTACATATAAGAAAAATAAAAGAATAAGAGAAACAATAGGACAGGGACGGTAGGCACGTTGGTGCGCTTATGCACGCCCCCTACAGACCTCTTAGGAAAGGGGTGAGGTCAATAGTAGACAGACTAAGGTTAAAGTTTTTGGGGTTTGGGGAAGAGACTACAGAGTCGGGTAGAGTATTCCAGACATTGACCACTCTATTGCTGAAGTCGTATTTCCTGCAATCAAGTTTGGTGCGGTTTACTTTGAGTTTGTATCTATTGTGTGCTCTTGTGTTGTTATGGTTGAAGTTGAAGTATTCATTGACAGGTAGGACATTGCAATGTATGATTTTATATACCATGCTTAAGTCAGACCGAAGACAGTGTAATTCAAGGTTTTCTAGTTCTAGAATTTCAAGTCTGGTGGCATAAGGTATTCTACAACGAGTAGAAGAGTGGAGAACTCTTCTTGTGAAATATTTCTGGACTTTCTCAATTGTGCTAATATCAGATACGTAATGAGGGTTCCAGACTGATGCTGTAGAAGTTTTGCAAATGACCCCTGATTTGCCCAAATTCTATTGGTTATTTTGAGGAGGAAATATTTTGTTGCCTAGTTTCATAAACAGCAAGCCCCATTCCTTTCTAGCAGTAAAGCTACTTACTCTAGCTGAGTAATATTTGCAAGCAGGCAACAAAGCTCAGGGAGCACCAGACTCCAAGGTTCTACATCATCTCATTAAAGCTCTTAACACAAAGAGCTCTAGGAAATTAAATGATCCATAGTTGGCAAAAGCAACTTCTAGCTGTTTAGGATTATATTATTAACAACGGCTTAAATTTTATTATGTTGTGTTTTATTTTAAAATTGAACTCTTTAGGATTATTTAAATTTAGTTACATTGCACTGCATCACAATATATAAAAGAAAACTCACGTTGAGAATTGAAGTAAAAGGATTTGCTTTATGCCCACTCACACATGACCCTTTGCAAGCTTCAAAGGATAGTATGTCTCAGTCACCCACACACTGTTCCATGATCTACATTCAATATCCTCTTTAGAAAGTGAATAATCAAGAAATTTTAAATAAAAATATTTTATGCTTGCACTTTTACAAATTAAAGGAATTTTTTTTAAAGTGATAAAGATACTTGTGCTGAGTGTGGTTTATTATATCATCTTACAATACATACAAGCACGTATGCTCTCCTTACAGGTGGGAGGCTATAATGCCTGACTACTTTGTATTGTCTTTTACTTGAAATATGGGGACTTGCATAGTTTATAGAAAATCAGTGATTCATTTACTAAGTATACTGTGCTGTGTACACTAAGTGTACTGTGCAACAGATTCCCAGGCATTCAAATAGTCTTTTCGGACTTGGATCAGCTGATATCAGGCAGAGCACTCTTATCAGAGAGATGGTTTTTGAAAGAGCCCTGCTGCTAAAGGAAGAGCTAGGTTACAGGTCAGGGGTCTCCAAACTTGGCAAGTTGAAGACTTGTGGACTTCAACTCCCAATTCTGGGAGTTGAAGTCCACAAATCTTCAACTTGCCAAGTTTGGAGGCTTCTGTTATAGGTTAACAACATATAAATCCTTTAAAAGAAGTTCAACAATTCTGAAATTATAGGCATACAAAACGGAGATGATGTTCTATATCATAAAGGGCCTTCTGGAAAACAGGATGAGGAGAATGCATGGCAAACATGTGTCATCCAAGTGTCACCGGTTCAATGATTGGCGCAGTTCTTCATACATTATTTGGTCCTAATAATGACAATAATGGAGGAAAAATTGAAAATTACTTTAATAATACAATACTTAACATTATTTTAACTTTGCTCCAGGAAGAAATGTATAAACATGTATTGGCAGTGGTTTGGCTATCCCCATTTGGAAGGTGGCGCAAAGGGAAAGGTAACCATTTTTGGAGTATAATTTTTTTTTCTTTTATAAACTGGTATTACACTGTTAGTAGATTAAAATGTGCAGATTGCTGTCTCAGCAGTTCCTATTGTCAGCATGCTCTGCTTCTCTACTTCAAGACAAGCTCTATAATATATTTTGCATTGTTCTGTTAAAAAGCTGCTTAAGAGAAACCAGGCAAAGTAGAACTGTAATCACAACGTAGAAGACTTCTACAATTTAATTCAGAAGTTAATATTAAGAGATCTAAGTGTCGGGAGCTAAAAGTTGAGATCAGCAATCTTGTGCAAATTCAGGTCATGTGAGGAATTGAAGGGGTTTTTTTAAAAAAAAAAAAAAAATCCACATCAGGCTTTCCTAACACCGTGTCTTGCAATTGCCCCCTCCCCTTTCAATATCTACATGAAGTCACCGGGCAAAGTCATCTGTTGGTTTAGTGTAGTACCACTGATATATGAATGATACTCAGTTATAATTTCTATCCACAGCTGCCCAAGTGAGGTTACTGAGGTTCTTTCCAATAATTGGATGGGAAAGAACAGGTTGCAGCTCAATCTTGCCAAATCCAGTGACTAAATATTTTGTGCCCACCCCCCACCCCCACGATCTGGGAACTGCTTTTTGGTTTTCCGTGAGGTGGCACTACCACCTTCAAGACATGGTGGGCAATCTCTTGTTTGAAGAGCAGATTGTAACTGTGGCCAAAGGGGCCTTTGCAAAGCGGCACCTTTGTACACAAGTGGCATCCGTTCCTGGATCAGGAGGCCCCGCTTATGTTCACTCATGCTTTAGTCTCCTCCTGTAAGATACTCCACACCAAAGTTATGAATGCTAAAAGTACTTTTATATTAGGTTGTAGAATGTGTCCCTCCCCTCCTACCTTGTTCAAGAGAAAGAGGGTTAAGTCAGAAACCTTCTCAAATGGCATTCCTGCTTTGGATTAAGATTTTTCACATCCCATCATTGTCTTAACTGCGGATCTTCTTCCTTTACCACCTCAAGGTCATTTTCACAGCATATTATACCTCCTGACTGGAGTACTGCAACAGGCTCTAAATAGGGATAACCTTGAAAACTATCAAGGATGCAGCAGTGCAGATAATTATCGATGTATCTCATGATGTCATACAAAACTTCTCCAATAGCTGCATTGACTTCTAATAGGCTTTTGGTGCCATTAAAAGAGCTATAAAGCCCTATAAGAAAACATGTGAAAGAGGCCTTCATCTTGCAATGGACAGACTGGCTAAAATGATGATGATGATAGTGGAAGCCGAGAAATAGGTTACTTGAAGGACTCCCTTCTAAGAACATCTGTGCACCCCACATGATCCCACAGATAGGGCATGCAGCTAGATTCTTAAATCTTTTCATCTTATGGGATCTATGAAATATGCCTTTTCTGTGGTTGCTCCTGCTCTCTGAAACAATCTGCTCCCCCCTCAATATAAAAGTTCCAATTTTATTCGCCTGTAGAAAAGCTATTAAAATCTGGTTCTTCTTTCAGCCATTGGGGCCAGTTGAAGGAGAGACTTATTTGTGACTTATTATGTATTTGGTTGCCATTTTATATTTAGTATTTTTATACATTGTTTATTGTTATGTGGATTTTGTTCTTTATTGTTTGTTTTTAAACTGTACATTGCCCAGACTGAGACTCGTTGAATTGGATGCCTTATAAATCTTATAAACAAAACTTATCACATTAACACCCTCTTGCCCACATACACACATCAGAGTTTCTAATGAAATTTGATTCTAATCCAAAATTCAATTGCTCCAGTCAGTCTGAGTTACTAACACATATACCCTATTTTTCAGAGTATAAGAGGCTCCGAAGAATAAGGCGCACCTAGCTTTTGGGGAGGAAAACAAGAGAAAAAAATCTGCCTCTCCCTCTGCCTCCCAGCAATTTGCCTACTTGCAGCAAACAGCCTGGTCAGCTTCAGCACAGCCTGATTAGCACAAGCAGCTGATTATCGGTTGGATTGGCCTCCTGACAATCAGCTGTTTCAGGCTGCAGGGATCACCATCGCCTATTGCCGCCTCCTACTGAGGTAAATGCTAGTTCTGTTTATTAACATTGAGGAATGAGAGACAACAGCTGGGTGGAATAGAAAAATAGTTCTAGAAGATTTGCTGAAGAAAAGGCTGCAAGAATGTCTAATTATTAACAGGTGCAAAAGCATCATAAAACTCAAACTCATAAATGGAATAACTTACAAAATATTACAAAAATATTACCTGCTAATGTTCAGGCCAGACATTTTGAAACAGTTCTGGAGAACATTTTCCATTGACAGAACGTGATATTCTTGAAAGAGCCCTCGTTTGCTATTGTTATATTTTGTTGAGATTACTCATTAAGCGATTGTTTGAAGTTGCAATGGTACTGAACAAGCAGTACTTATAACCTGGTCTTCAGAGTTTTATCTGTCACAGTGTCCTTGATTCACATGATTGTGAATGTTGCAGCATCCCACAGTCATCATTTGTGACCTTTGTTGGCTTCCAACAAGCAAAGTCAATGGGGAAGCCAATAGACATAGTGTCTCTGTTTAAGGACCTGTGGTGAGTTGCTTAATTCTAACCGAGCATGTTAGAATTATTGCTAAGTGGTGCAGTCGTGTGATGTGGCATTTTACAATTGCATTGCCTAGCAATGAAATTCCAGTCCCAATTATTAAGAACTGAAGACTACCTGTATTGGGAATGTAGCATAATAATAATCCTTCCCAAAAGTACACCTTCCATCCTATAACATTTCTGCAATAGTCATACTGACCACCAGTATAGCTGGGGGGAAAAAGATGTGGCATTGGATGGAAGACTTAAGTGAATAAAGGCATCATTACTTTGAATAATTAAGATACTTAGTGCATTTTACATTTCACCCAAGGTTGGTTTATGGCATATTACAAGACATTTTAAAGTAGTATGAAGCTCTGGGCCATGCATATTTCTTTACAATGTTCTGTGAACAATCTGGGTCACCAACTGAAAATTTAAAAGTATTTCTTACCTTTGGAGTTATAGAGGATTTCACTTTCTTAAAAGCTTCTTCAAAATGTTTTTTGCCAACTTTAATTTCCCCTGTGAAGACTATAGTACAAGAAACATTTACTATAATTGCAAAAGTGATAACTTTGATAAAATAAAATGCATAATCAACAAAACATTAAGAATGGAAGGAGAAACAAGAAGTTTTTTTATTAATAAGACAATTTGCCACAGAACTATTTTCTCTCTCCACTTATTTTTCATGCAGTTCCATGCTGATTAGCTAGAGTTATGTGTCCTCAGGTCTAATTCAATGGGGAAACATCCCCTAATCAATTCTGTTTATAAGATTTATCAAGAGAGGGCAAAAAATCAAGATTTTTGAAAAATTCACATACAATTAATTCAGTAACCATTCTTCTACGGTCTTCTGCTTAAAGAGGCGAGAAGCTTGAATTCTACAATTATTTCAAGCACTCTGCAAGAGCTGAGTTACACTATGTAATGAATATAGGAACTGGAAAGAAACAGCATCCATGTTCAGAAATGACTATTTTCCACAAGAAGAAACCTTCCTAAGGTTTGCCTACAAAAAATGAAATGTAGTAAGAAAACCAGAGGCACAAGTGCAACTTGGAAAACACTGTTTTTGATACGAACACACCCACAAAAACATATGAAGATGTTCATTAGATCAAACCCAATTAAAACCGTCATAACAAAACAGTACAGTCAACATTTCCTATTAATTAATTTAAAACCTAACCTTTAAAGGCACTGTATTACTATAGAATGTTAATTGTGGAAATAAATACTTGATCTGTTGACATTAATGAAAAGTAAAGAATTAGCTAATCCTCTTCATTTCATGATTTGTTTTGAGTCTTAAATCTGAAAACAGATATCCTATTGTTTGGAACTGAACCCAAGTTACTTATTAGTAGATCATACCGAGAGGAAACTGCTTGAAATATTTAGGGGAGAGTAATTTAGTTTCTATAACCTCCTGGTTCTTCCTTGCTCTACAGTGTCTACAAACAAAAGAGGCAATTACACTAGTGGTCATGCATCACCAGAATTATCTCACAAAGCTTCTAGTAAACATTACCATAGATTTGTTTATTAATGATTGGTAGAAAAGAGACAGAAATGGAAAAGTTTGCTGGAATTATACTGCTTCCTCAAGTTTCTATGTAGCAAGAACAACTCTTGCATGCCAGCTTGAAATTTCAGCTGCATTTCTGCATTTTTTCTTGTACCAAAGAGGGTTCTATTTAAGTGTATTTTATTCTAAAACATATCCCTAGTTCAGCTAAGTTCCAAACTGTCTAGAGGTAGTTCTCAATTTACAATAGTTTGTTTAGTGACCGTTCAAAGTTATAATAGCACTGAAAAAAATGACTTATGACAATTTTTCACACTTATAACCATTGTAGCATCCCCATGGTCACATGATTTACATTCAGATGCTTGACACCTGACTCACATTTATAATGGTTGCATATCCTGGGGTCATGTGATCCCCTTTTGCGATCTTCTGACAAGCAAAGTCAAAGGGGAAGCCAGACCCATTTAACAACCGTGTCATTAATTGCATAACTGCAGTGATTCACTTAACAAATGTGGCAAGAAAAGTCGAAAAATGGGGCAAAACTCACTTAATAAATTTCTCACTTAACAACATACATTTTGGGCTCAATTGTGGTCATAAATTGAGGACTACCTGTACTGTTTTGACCACTGAAGGCTGTCCAATATTTCACGCTCAACTCTTTTCTAGACTGCCTCTAACACTAGCTCCTTAGTCATGCAAAAGCATCCTATCACCTTTTACAGAGGGTCAGTGCTGTCAGCCAAGGCACATTTTAGTATTTTGGATATTTTGCCCTCTTTTGAAAAAATATATTATAATGCTAGACAGTTCAGCGTAGATAAAAATATTATCATTTTCATGCCTACCAAACCTTTAGTTAACAACTTTCTTTCACTGTTTTTAATGTATCTTTAGTTTAGAACAATCATATAACAATTCTGCAGTTTTTTGTTAGAACTCTGAAAGAAAATAATGAAAACATCCAAAAGGTTCCTTAACATCCAAAAGGTCATTAGGAAAATCTGCCTTGTTATAATATGCCATTTCCCCCTCCTTACTGTTCTTATTTGCAGGACTGAACATTGTCATTTGCTGTTTTAGGGCACAAACAGAAGCTTCTCGCACTAGAGCTGAAAGATCTGCTCCCCTATAAAGAAAAAAAAGCAATTATACTAAGATAAAAATCATGCAATACACAAAAACATAACCAAAAATTGCTAGTGTTCAATAAGAAGTTGTTTGACAGACATATTTAAAATCTGTTACTGCATTCCAAAATAGGCAGATACACTTAAAATTGAATTATTAATTTGGAAATTTATATGGAATTTCAGTCAAAAGTTGTGGTAGTCATAAGTTGAAGCACCATGTGACATGACTCAATTTTACAATGGTGATTGAGCCAGTCACCATGGCAATTGAGCAAATCACATGGTTAAATGAACCATACTGCAAAAGTCAAAAAAGGGCTGTGAAAATATTTATAGATCCCAATGTCAGCTGGTGCTCCATTCAAAATCCAAGAAAGAAATACTTAGACTCCATTAATCAGAGAAAAGATATCTTTTACTGGAAATCAAGTGGTAGCAACAAAAGAATTCTGAGTCTGAGAAAATGGGCGCGTAAATCACATATACAAAGTAATGGCAACGTTCCCACCCCCAATAGTTCAACTGGCTCATCCAATTAAAAGTTGTGTATATCATCATGTGGGCATCTCCAGGTGGTGATGAGGCCTCTGTCCGTTGACCTTGGCATAGTTTGATGAAGAGTTGCAGCTGCGCATAGCATAGGATAGAAACCTAAGCAAGAATCTACCCCCCCCCCAAGCTTATACAGTTCTGGTTTGTAACACCTCCAGCTCACTTCCCATAACCATATCCCCCCCTCCTCCCCCCGTTACTTATGACAGCCGAAAGATGCAAAGCAAAGGGAGAAGATCTTGAAGGCTGACACCCTCACATTCTGGACATAAATTGTTTCAACCCCTACCCTCAAAACGACGCTATAGAGCACTGCATACCAGATCAACTAGACACAAGGACATTTTTTCCTGAATGCCATCACTCTGCTAAACAAATACTGTAATTCCCTCAACATTGTTCAACTATTTATTAAGTCTGCATTACTATTACTATTAATCTTCTCATCACTCCTGTCACTCATCCTATCACCCATCCCCTCCCACTTATGACTGTATGACTGTAACTTCATTGCTTGTATCCTTATGTATCCTTGTATCCTTATATTGACTGTTTCCTAGTATGACAGACATAGTATGATTTGATTGTTTATTTGTACCCTATGACTATATTAAGTGCTGTACTTTATGATTCTTGATGAATGTATCTTTTCTTTTTATGTACACTTGAGCATATGCACCAAGACAAATTCCTCACACTTGGCCAATAAAGAATTCATTCATTCATTCATTCATTCATTCATTCATTCATTCATTCATTCATTCATCCACATGGTTGTTACGTGAATCCAATACATCCAATGGGATTGAATTCTGTATTGCATTGAGATAACCTGGCAGACATTGTAAATGGTTGTAGCACAGATAAAATGCTATTTTTCCACAGACCAATATGCCAGCTACGTTCTGTAGTAACTGAAATATCTGAGTCACTGTAGATCCAAAATAAAAATCAAACCCAGATAAACACATTAGATTATCAAGGGGGCTGGTTGCTATAGGGCCATATCATACATCGTGTGTTGTTTAACAATTTTATCAGCAACTTGAAAGAGTTCAGACTTTGTAGATGACAGAAAACTTGAAGGGGTGGATAATACTTTAAATGAGGGAAAGGAGATTCAAAAAGACCTAGATAGACTGGAATGGGCTGAAATAAATAGAATGGAATTTAATACAACATGAATAGTTCAGCATTGACCTGGCAGTAGCACATGTGAAAGAGAACTGAAGTCCTTGGCAAAGACATACTAAACATGAGGTAGCAGAGTGATGCTGATGCAATAAAGTAAACACTATTGGGAAGTGCATTAATCAGAGCACAGAGTCCTCATGAGTGGAAGCAAATGTTCTACTTTATTCTATCCTGATCAGATCCCATTTGGGACACTGAGGCCGGTTCTAGACACCACCATTGAAAAAGGACAGTGACAAATAGAAGTCAGTTCAAAGAAGTGCTAGCAAGATGGTAAAGGTTCTGGAAATCAAGCTCCATAAAAACAGTTAAAGAATTTGGTATATTTAGCTTACAAAAAAAGACATCGGAGAAAGATAACACAGCAATCTTCAAATCAGTAGAATCATACTTCCCCAACAATATCCAGATAAAGATCAGGCTCACAGAGCCATTTTATAGTATGGTAGTTATGGTGTTGGTCTACAAACTAGGAGTTTTAATCTTGTTTTAGTCACAGAAGCCAGCTGGATGGACTTCCGGTTTCGCCAGGCTTCGGAGGCAGCGGGGTTTCGCGATCTCTGCGATCCCCGCCGTGCTAGCCGTTCTTGGTTCCTCCGACCCAGACGGGTCTGGAGGATAAGGTTGCCCCGTAGAGGCAACTGAAGATAGGGAGGATCCGGACAGGGGGTTGGGGTGTTCGCAGACCCCTTCCCCACCCGGCACAACCTTCTTTTCTCAAGTCGGTCCAGCGGCGGTCAGCAATGGCCGCCACAAAGAAGCCAGCAGCCGGACAAGATCGTGCTGGAGGAAGGAGAAAGTTTTGAAGCGAAAGTTTTTTTGGCTGAACTGGGACTAGAAGATACATTTAATACCCTGAAATCTAAGATTTGGGGTTTTTTTTGAAAGATACTTTGTTTCCAGAAGAGATTTGCAAGCGGCGAGTGAAAGTGTTTAAAGTGAAAGTTTACTCTCCTTCCACATGGAATTAACAAATGAATACTGAAAATCCTACTATTTTACAAAAGGTAAAAATTTAAAGCTTCTTGTTATAAATGGGAAGGGAGAGGACAAAAGGAAAATTTATATTAAGATTTTGTTGAAGGAGATGCCTGGAAGATTTTGGAGATTGGAAGTTACTGTAATAAGAATTTAAAATACAGATTGGCTTTTTTTTCTCCCTTTGCAACTGATATTAACCCAGGAAGAATGGAAGAACTTTGTGCTTTGTTTGGATTGTTTGATGACTTTGGGACTTTGGGAATTGTTTTAAACTTGGAAATATCTTTGGCTGTTTTAAGAAGAAGAAGAAGAAAAAAAGAGGATTTACAATGATTTTATCTGCTGATGAACTGAGAGAGGAATATGGCAAAATAAAGAAAGACGATGTGGGAGAAATTTTTTGCTTTTTAGAAATGGCGCTTCCTACTTATCAGCAAATACAACAACTGATGGAAGAAGAAGAAGAAGAAGCCATCTTTAACGAACCCACAGAGTTGATTAAGAAAGGAAGGAGAAAGAGAGGGGGAAAAAAGGATATAAGACTTAAAAAAATATTTAAGAAAGTGAAAAATAAGATGCAAAATCAATACAAGGCTAGAAAGCAAAAGGAAAGAGAAATACAACAGAGAGGGGAAGTTAAGGGGGGTAAAAAGACCAGATGGGATAAGACAGGGAGGAAGAAGGGGGAAAAAGGCCACAAGGGTATGAAACAAGATGCGAAAAAGAAATTGTTTTTCAGGGACAAAGGGTAATATAATTTTGTTTTAAAAGGATTCTGCAAGGTACATAAGATAGTATTGTAGTATTTGTATTAGAAATAGAAAATTATAATTTTATAAGACTTGAGTAAAGACTAAAATATTAAAGGTTTAATAATGGTAGAATTTAAGATTTAATAAAATATTAAAAGGAAGTTTTAAAATACTTAGTTTAAATATAGATTTTAATTGACTATTGTGTGGATGTTAGTATGAATATATTATTGTAATATTTGTTTTTGAAATAGATAATTGGAATGTTATGAGATTTAATGTTTAATTATATATTTAATTATGTTATGGATTTACTATTTTCTTTTTGTAAGTAGTATGTACTAAGCAGAATCAGATAGGGAACTTGGTGTTACCTTAAATGTTAATTTAGAGGTGCGATGGAAAGGCATCATACTTTGATTTGTGATTTCAGGAGAAATTCTTTTATTTTATTATGGGGAATGAGATAAATAGACAATTGGAAAAGAATGGACAAAGGATAGAAATATAATGATTTAAATTAAGATAATAAACAAAATAGAATTAAGAAGAGTGGAAAGCGGGGAGAAGTTATAAAGAAGACACAGAATGGTAATTAAGATAGGTAATGGCATATAAGATGAATATGATTTTAATTGAAGTCCATACAAAGAGAGGTAATCCGGGGCCAAGCTACTTTTTTGAAAAAGAAGTTTTACATTATGTGTTTTGTGTGTGTATGTTTATCTGAGATTTAATAAAACCTTGGAGGAAAGCGGGAGGAGAATAATTGCGAACAAGACAGAGGGAAATATGAATAGGATGACTAAATTTAAAGAGAAGAAATGAGAGTGTTAAAAGATATTTAAGTAGAAATGGGATATATTAAAATCACACTGTATAAAATAATGTATTATCTGCCTTGTAAAAATTTACAAGGGAAAGAGGTTTAATGTCTACAAGGTTTATGTTTTGTTTGTCTTTAAAAATTAATAAAATTTGTTTCAAAAAAAAAAAAAAGCCAGCTGGATAACTTTGGGCCAATTAGTCTGACTCAGCTTAATCCATCTTGTAGAATGGTTTAGATACAGATGTCAACTCATAAAATATTTCTATGGTCTTTTAAGAGTTGCCAACAGAAAGGGAGGGGGAGCAGTGCGGCAGCTTGGAAACTGAAAGTGCATTCCATAGTTTTCAAAGATAGTAACTAGGTGACTGAAGTTTCTGCTGTGCACAATTCTAACTGGAGAGCATGATTGATGACTCTTGGCTATGGATGTGTCCTATTGGAGAATATAAATTAGGATACACCCAGAGGGTGGGGGAAAACCAGGGTCAAGGGTGACAATGAATTATGTGTCTCCGAGTCAGCTACATTCAGGCAGTACCGGACATTTTAACACGCAATAAATTCTTTTGAAGTTTTGGAAGTTTGGCTCGAGACTCATGATTTAAATGGGGGTAATGTCAGAATCCTGACAACAGAGTTGCAGAAAATAAAGGGATATCAATCTACCGTAGTAAAGAAATGCACTAAAGCTCTGAAATGAGTCAAGATAATCTCTATTCTCCAGAACTGTTTCCAATGGAGAAGTGGTAACCTTCTTATCATATGATCCTTATGGTTGCTGATATCTGAGAGATCCAGTGCTGAAGTTTTAAGTAGAGGTCTAATAATTTAATTGCCTCCTTTAGAGAAAGAGACCTTCTGTCCCACTTAAAAGGTATTAATGATAACCAATACACTTTTGTCTAAAGCTGACATGCCAACAGATTAACCTGTAAAATAAAAATAATGCAATTTAAAAATGCAATGTCTTTACTGAATTTTTTTTGCCTCAAAACAGTATGGAGAGCAAGCTAAATCTGATTTAATAAATTCTTCTGATATAGCTTGATACTGACATAATGAAATAAATATACATAGAATTATATGATGGAAGTAAGAGAATATCACCTCCTAAAGGCCAGGCTACCTTCAAGGATTTTATTTCATTTTTTGAAAAAGGTCTAGGATCCAAGAACTGAAAAGCTAAGAAAGCTCTGCATTTGTATTTGCAGTTTTATGTCAGGTTTCTAAGTGATGAAATCCGTTTAAAGAGAAAATATGAAGTTGATCTTCCAAGACAATTTCTTGTATTTAGGAAAGCATCAAATTGGCAAAGTCCATGGTAATTTTGGACCTGACACAACCCGGAATTACCCCACAATATTGGAAATTAGAAACAACCCCAAAAGTCACATTCTCCAATAGAAGTAATTCAATGTTGCTTGGTGTCATAAATCTGCACCTCAAGGGGCCTGAGCACAGTCAGCTTGTTTTCCCACAGGAAGAAGAATCACCTAGCATAAACAACTCTATCTCCACTCCTCCCCGCTTAGGAATGTAGCAAACCTGAAACCCTTCCCCCATGACCACCAAAGCAAAAGTAAGAAAAATAATATATACTCTATACTAAACCTAACCAAAATGGCTATACATATGTCAATTTCGGGACATTATATTTATTTCTAATTTTGAGCACTAAATGTTTATAATGTAAGCAAACATCTACAACCATGTTGAAAGTTTCAGTATAAGTGTAAGGAGAGTGCAGATTCTGCTAATGCAGCCTTGTACATGAATAATATATATTCCACCCTGTGACTCACCATGTTTTATGCTGGAAATGATCCTTCTTCCCTGCAATTAACCCAACTATTAATTCTGAACAAGTCTGTTCCAGAGCATACACGTTCCTTTATCTACTCTCAAAACTGATTTCATGTAGGATACTACTCACGTAAAGCAATCACAGGAGGGATTGTAAGCAATTTCTTCCAGGTGCACATCAATATCAAGTGGGGGTACAGTTCCATCCTGTAACCATTAAAAAAACATTCAATGACTTTGATACATATGAGAAATCACATTATTTAATTTGTATATAAAAGTTCTGAGTTGCATTTTGAAAGTGAAAGCTTCTCAAATAGACCAATAATTCAAGGTAATAAGTTAAGTTTATAGATATTAAACTATCACAGAGAGCAAGTTTTAAAGCCAGAGAAAAAACAACATTCCATTTTGAAAATAAGCATTGGAAAAAAATGTCATCATACAACAGTGAAGTTGAACAAAACAACTAGAGAGAACTATATTCCCCTGAGAGAGAGTTTCACAGCTGGTGTACTTCACTCAAAGGCCCTGTTCCATCAGGAGCACCAGTGGAGGTGGGGTGGGAGACAAATGAATGAAAGCAGTGTTGGGCTGTTGTGATGAAGCCCCACCCCTTGTGTACACATGGCACTGCATGTGTGTCCCCCATTTTTACTTTTTAAAAATAAAATAAACCTAATGATTTCCCAAGAAATTACCCATTGGGACAACCTAGTTGTACCATTAATGTTACAATAAATTATTTATGAAAGCAGGAAAGGCCACTGATGGAGATGGATTGTTAATAAAATGGTATTATGACTTTTATGGAAACGGAATACATATCTACTTGTGTTCAAGTCAGTGCTGACTCCTAGAAACTGCCCGGACTTTGTTCCTGTGGTTTACTTCACAAGATGTTTCAGAAATTGTTTGTCACTGCTTCCTTCTTAAGGCTGAGAGAGCCCAAGGCCGCCAAATTAGTTTCATGCCCAAGGATTCAAAGTATCACAATTTCTAGCCTAATGCCTTAGCCACTGTATTAAACTGCCTCTTTCATGTTGCTGGTAACATATATTTAGTGAGGCTTGCATGAAACATAAATTTCCCTCCTTGTTTCAGGAAGTGTGTAGTGAAACTGAACAAAGTTCCAACTATAGTTGTACTAGTCATTGTTCAATATCTTTCTTAGTTGCAGATAATAAAAATGCAATTATATAACCTTAGTACAGATGTTATTTTCTTATTTAGGTTACCTTGCATAATCCAGTGTTATTAAAGATTCTAACATCTTGTAATAGTAGATGGTAAATATTTTTACAATTCAATCTGAGAAAATTGATCTACTTTTTTGGCATCTAGCAGCAGAAAAGGCTTTGGATATTTTTTGAACATGTTTAAGAAAAATGGATTTACTTTTGTTTTTATTAACCAGTTTAGAACGCAGCATTTAAATCCCCTGGCTAAGTTTATTATGAATGATATAATTTTTCACTTATTCACCATGGAACTCATGAAGGCAGTCATTTATTGTTAATATTTAATTTGGTATAGGAACTATTGGCCTCCATAATTCCTCATAGAAATCTGAAATTTCTATGGGAGCCAAAGTCATTGCTTCCAAGTCTCATTAGATAGGTTTTCATATGAGAGGAGGTTGTAACTTTCCAGACTTTCAATTCATCACTGGATTTATAATTTGACTTCAATTTTTGAATGAAATGAGAATAATTTAAGAAGGAATAAAGATTAATAGGGGCACAAATTGAATGCTATTACTTGGCTTCTGAAAATCTGTCAAATACAGATTCTTTTATTTTTTTAAAATTCATTTTATTTACTAAGGAGATTTATATGGCCATCCAACTCATTCATTTAATCAGCATGCCACCATTTTTCCTGCTTTAAAAAGCAGCAAAATAATTTGGAAGACACTAGAGGAGTGTTAAGCTTAGTTTTGGGTCTTATGAAGAACTAACTCTTCGGGATAATCATAATTTTAATATGAAAGCTCTTTTTTTATTTACATAGGCAGAAAAAACATTTGGATGAATTGATCTTTAAAGTTTTTTTTTAAAGCATTGACTCACTACAAAAAGAATTTGGATTGCCTGAAATAGCTTAGCTGTAATATATCCAAATTAAAATGTTTGTTGATGACTGAATCTGGGTTTGGTACATTGGCAGCCTTCTAAATTATAAAGTGTATGGAAAATATCTCAGAAGAACTTAAAACCATAGTGCATTTATTCAAATTGTTGAAGAGGGTTTCAAAGATAAACATTGATAATTTACAAGAAATCTGGAACTAAGAATTGGAATATCCTATTTCATCTTTTTACAACCTGACATTCTAAGAAATAGCATTCTAAGGTCTTATAAATTTAGAGTAGGATTCTAATTGAAATTTAGAATATAATTCTAGGGAGTTATAACATTAAAATGGAACCAATTCATTAAAAATATTTTCATGTTTACTGGATATCCCTGTGGCTGTTGAAGAAACAACATTGGCTATCGGATTTTTTTTAATGTTGGAGTTGTTTAAAAGAACTAACACATATAATTTGGGCTCGCTCTTTATTTCGGTTTAAAAATGAGGATGTAGTGTTACATTATACCAAAAGCATTTTGTAAAAGCAATGTCTGATCTTGTGGAAGAAGTAAAGGGAATCCTCATTTAATGACTACTAGTTCAATGACTGTTCAATTTTATGATGGCTCTGTATTAGTGATAATTCAGAATTCTGGCTGTTGCAGCATCTCTACAGTCAAATGATCCCAATTTCCAATGTTTCCTGCCAGTTTTTCATAAACAAAATCAATGGGAAGTCAGCAGAAAGTCAGTAATTAGGGCTCTTATCTCTTCAGATCTTTGTAGTTCTAAACAGCATGCACAGAGGATTTATCTAACTGAAATATTAAATCTGACCTTCTAATTAAAAGATTTAAATTAAAAGATTATTCCATGTAGCTGGTGAGACTTGTTTTAGATAGATTGCATAATAAATGCCACAAGTAAAACTCTGCCTCTGCAGGTTTTTCTAGAAATATAATAAATCATGCTGAACCTCTGGTCCATAGACTGAATTTGGTTGGCCAACCCTTCCCATCTCATTTTGCAAAACAACAGGTGAACAGTTGCTTTAAGATATTGTCTTCATGCAAAGAATCCCTGTTATTTAATTATTCCTCTTTTTACCTACAGAAGGAGACTTCCTGCTATGCTGTGAGAGGAATAGTGTTGAGGGACAATTTCCAGGGATTTTAAAGAAGAAAAGCTCCTCCTCCTTATGTCATAGAGAACTGAAAATGATATTTTAATATAAAGAATAATTTTAATCCAAATAAATAATCAAGTTACTCCTTGCATGATTAGACACAACAATATCTACATTCATTTAAAGAAAGAGACAATATAGAAAGGGGAAAGTAATTCTAGTACACTTACTGGGTTTAGATTTGCAAAGCAGAAAAACAATTCTTATAAAAATGCTTACCACTTAGGCACAGGTCATAAGGAAGCCTGAGAAATTATATTAGTGTGAAAAATGAAAAAATACTTTCACAGGTTCAAATATGAGCTTGCTTGTCCAAACTAAACTTGTCAGTCAAAATAAGGATCAGAGTCCTCCCAAAGGTTGGCCAATCCAGGTTGAATGAGGAGATATTACGTCACCTAGGGAAAACATATAATTGAGCTAGGTGACTAATATATTCTAATTCAGGGGTAGTCAACCTTTTTATACCTACCGCCCACTTTTGTATCTCTTTTAGTAGTAAAATTTTCTAACTGCCCACCGGTTCCACAGTAATGGTGATTTATAAAGTAGGGGACAAAACCCCTACCACCCACCATGAAAGCTGGAACGCCCACTGGTGGGCGGTAGGGACCAGTTGACTACCACTGTTCTAATTTAACCAGGATTAGGCAACTGTTCCTTAACTTCTGGGAAATGTGATTTGGATTCTTTTGTTAATGTATATTATGGTTAGATCTGTTCTTTATATCTCTGCTACTACTTTTTCCGACCTCTGTGTGTGTGTGTGTGTGTGTGTGTGTGTGTGTATGTGCATGTGTGTGCACACACATGCATATGTGCGCATGCTGCTGCTGGCAGAAATCCTGATTTTCTTTTTTCCTTTTCCAATTGTCCTTTTAATGCTTATCCAATTCATTTCAGCGGCAATACACATAAACAGAAGTTCGACATAAATGTTTTGTTTCACTATACTGTACACTGATTCTTCCAAAGAAGCAGTCTAATATGCCACATATTTCAGATGCCACAGAAGATTTTTAAACTCTCTTCTTCTGAAGCACCCGGGCTGGGGATAGAAGAATCTGTTCCTGAGTAAAAGTGGCAGCAAATAGAGTCCCAGTCACATACAGCAGAAAGCTGCCATGGTAGGGATTGTGGAGTAGAGCTTTGGACCTCTAACCAATAAATGGTATGAATATAAATTTAAATTATAGTAGTAATTTTAAATATAAATTATTTGACCTTTCACAGGCAGACTAATTAACATAACAATATCCACCATTCAAAAATTTATTTTGTGGTGCTAGTCTGGCATGGGACAATGCATCCGCAGAATTATGCTCTATTTAAAATTAATCAATCCAAACTACAGCAAATTATTTCAGAAAATGATAGGAAACATTTGTTTGACATTCTTCAGACGTATATACTGTCATAGAAAAGGTATTTCTTACAATTTAATTAAGAAACACTGAACTTACATTAAATGATTGCTTTGTCAACACATTAATAGTATTATTTGTGTATCATAAGAATCAGTAAACCAATATCAAGTCATGATTACAAAATATAGTTAATTGTTCAGGGTCAGGGATGTGAAACTCGCATTGTCACGGCAGCGTCACGTGACTTATCAGGACTTTCCCCCCTTCATTAAATTGGCCGTGGGTGTGGCCAGCATGCGACGCATCCGGCCCATGGGCTAGGAGTTTGACAGTCCTGCTCTAGGTCAGTGGTCGCCAACCAGTGGGCCCGGGACCACTGGTAGTCCGCGAGAAAATTTTGGTGATCCACAGAGAAATGTCACCCCAAAGCAATTAATCCAGGCTGTGCCGCCCACATGGCCCGCGGGAACACAAGGCTTGCGTCACTTGCATTGCAAACAACACGAGTGAGGGGTGAGTAGTGAGGGGAGGGGGTGAAAGGGCGGAGAGGGTCGACTTGCCCCACTCGCCTGGCCTG